CCTTGCTTTAAATCCTCCTCTGATTTTTGGGCTTTGGGGCTCCCTCTTCTCGTTGGCAGGAGGGTGGGCAGGGGGAGGCACCGTGTCCCCCCATGTTTTGGGGGCTGTGGCTGTGTTTGGCACCCTCACCTGGAGCCCAGGAAAATGCTGATGCGTAATTTGGGATGGGAGAGGAGAGGACGGTGAGGGAGGACAGGAGCCACTGAAAGCTGAGGCTGTTTGGGTAAATGAGTGATGGTTTTGAAGCACGAAGCTGGGGCTCTCAGCAGCTTTTGAAGCCTTGGGAAATTTGTCTTTTTGACTCTGCAAGGTGCTCAGGCGGGGAGGGAAATGCATTACAAGTTGAAATGCTTTGAGAGCAGAGGGGAAATGTTATGTGATTCAAGCCCCGTTCCTCCCCGCGAGAGGAATCTGATGAACACAATATGTTGTATTCTTCACATTCCTTCGCCTCCCTGTGCCGTGTGTGTAAATGTGCTGGGTCTCTCCCCAGCTCCAGGAGCCTGGGCTGCTGCAGCACCCACTTCCCACCCTACTGGGCACCCATGGTGGCCAGCCTGGCATGGGGGGGTGAAGGGAACGCCGGGCAGGGGCTGGGGGAGAGCCCAGATCCTAGTCAAGAAAAAAAATCCCCTTCCCATCCTGAGCATTCTGATGCTCCCCCGGCCAACCCCCAGGTGGGTTTTGCCCCCATCAGATGTGAGAAGGGAACTGGGAGGGGATGGGGGGGGGCGGGGCTTGATGCTGAGGATCCTGAGCATCCTGATGTTCTCCCAGGTGGGCTGAGGGGGGGCCGGGGGGGCCGTGCCTCGAGTGGGAACTGGGCTGGGGGGGCTGGAGCCGTGCTGTGCCGAGCACGCGCCGCCCCGCCGGGGAGCCTGGGAGCTCAGCATGACGTGGAAGGAGTCGAAAATAGAATCAATGCCGGTTTGTTCATGATAATAAATGGGAGCAAATTGCAAACAGTGGGTAAGTGACTGACAAACGCTGGTATTTTAATGTCCTCACAAAAGACCCATGTGTAAGTGGGACTTTGCATGAGTAATTCCATACATTTTTAATGGTGGACCCTGGGGGAGAATCAATCACGCTGCGCAGTTGAGTTTCCCTAATGCAAGGCACAACACAAAGCAATTTTGTTTGATAAGGAGGCACTGAAAGCGGCCGGTTCCCTGCGCAGGGGAGGGTGGCACGGAGTCCCTGGCTCCTCTCTCCCTCTGATGGCAAAGTCCTCCCGTGGACCTCCCCCTGGGACACATCCCTTTGGCAAAGCCGGCTGCGTCTCCCCAGGAGTTACCGGTTGAGCTGGGGTCTCACTGGGAAGGTTTCTCCGGCTCTGTGGGAGCGAGCGGCTGTTACTTGAGGGGTTGTGCATGGAAGAACCGTGCTCAGCCTGGCCCTGGGTCATCCACGGTATGGAGACGGGTCTGGGGGGTGTGAGACGCTGGGATGTGACCCGGGATGCTGAGGTCGGGTCCTGCCTTGGGATGTGGGATCCCACCTGGCTGCCAGGTTCCCTTCCGCGGCTCCTGGTTTTTGGGAGCACCCCAAAGCTCTGCTCTGGGCTCGCCGGGGCTGCTGCCTGCATGTCTCTCCTGGATCTTCCGGGAGAAGCCAGCTCTGCTGGTGGCACGGCAGGAGGGAGAGACCGAGTGACAGGTACTGCCAAGAATAGCTCTCAGGAAAAAAACACCCTTATTGGCATTCTGGATGATCCCAGCTCCATTCATCTCCGGTGACAGGACACTTTAATATTACCAGAACCTCCCCACGGAGCGAGCCTGGGGCTGCGTAGGCAGCGGCACCCCTGGGTGCCAGGTAGCACCCAGTGTGTGGGAGCAGCACCCACCCAGTGCAGGGTGCCACCTGGGGACCTAGGCCAGTTTTGGGCCAGCTCACCCATCTTCTGTGACGCCGAGGGCTCGGTGTGGCCCCGCAGGTCCCGCAGCCACATGCTGTGGCAGAGGTGGCAGGAACCTTTTCTGCAGGCAGCAAGCGTTAGCTTTTTGTGATGGAAATGCAGCCCTGCAGGAGCAAAAGGCTAATGTGCTCAGGGTAGCTGCTAAAACTTCTGCCAGGGATATATAGCACCTCATTTACGATGATATTTTTTATGCTGAAATGGAAGAAAGCAGCTGCTATCTGTACAAACAAAATTAGGCCAAAGGAGGAAAGTAATTTTGTAAAAGAAATAGGGAGATGCAGGGGGAGATGGATAGGAGACAGATGAATAAACACAATCTACATAGAAACTGATAAAAATTCAATTTCTGCTCTCACACGTCCCGGTCTAGCTCACTCCCTTCCTCTCCTCTTCTCCACACGCTCCGATGTTGTCTGCAGCCCTCATGCATCCATCTGGGATGTGGGAGGCAAACACAATGATCCTATTCTGTCTTCAACATGCTGCAAAATTTTCTTTAATTATGGTTCTTTAATTCCTCTGACTCTGGCTTTATCTTCAATATTTTTCCCTTGCAAGCAGCGGGTGCCAGGGTGATCATCCCATGGGGTGAGATGGTCCCGGTGCTGGGGGATCCCTCTGGACATGACCCCGTTCCCCCCATGGTGCTTCCATGGAGCAGGGCTACGGGGTACCCAGATGGGGGATCTGGGACTGTAACCCCGTGGGATGAAGGGGGTCAGAAGGAATCAGCAACTCCTGCGAGCGATCTGTGGTACCCTCGAGTCTGGCTTTATCCCCTTTCTCAGGGCTGGTGTCCCTGTAAAGCCCAGCTCCCAGAGCTGCGGGAGCACACTGGGATCCCCCTGATGCTTTTCAAGCACGTTGAGTGCCTTTGGCTCTGGATAATTAAAAAAAACTCACCTCCAAAAACTTCCCAGGGCCATCAGCGGCTTGTCTGTGAGCTGGGGTTGCGCGCTCTGCCCGGCTGCGCAGCGGGAGCGATGCTGGGGAGGGAAGGACCTTCCTCGGGTTCATCACGGCAACCCTGGCTGGCAAATTCATCAGCGTGAGCTTAATGACTGGCCGCAGGCTGGCCTGGAAGCTGGAGCTGGCACATCCATCATCTCAGATCCATTGTCCACGCAGCTCTGGCAGCCCCGTCCTGGTGCAAAGCCCGTGCGGAGGCAGCACTGCCCGCTCACTGCCTTCTCCTCCTGCTCCTCCGGGTCTGTGGCCAGCCCGGCACGGGCAGGTGATGCACGACCCCCTGCCTGCACCCTCACTCTCAGAGGAGACTTCTGCCTCTTCCTTCACCTTCTGGTCGCGGGGGGAGCATCTCCCCTGCCGATGGCAGACTGATGGTCTGTGGCTAACGGTCCATTTAGGTGCATTTTTTGCAGAGGCTGCGGGAAGAACCGGATGCCATGGCTCTGATGTTAACGGCAGCAGCCCCTCTGCCTTTCCCAAATCCAGGGCTAAAAGTTCCCTGGGAGGAGCAGGAGGCACATGGGTGCTTGGAAAGCGTGGGACAGAGGCAGAGGGGCTCCGTCAAAGCAAGTCTGTCCAAGGGGGGTTGCAGGGCTGACTTTCTCTCCTCCCTACTCCCACTGCAGCCTCCCAGGCTCTGGATGCACCCCGAGGTGCTATACATCCGTGCTTGGAGCTGGGTGCATGAAAATGGGGGTGGGTGGGTCTTGCGTGTCCCCTATAGCTGGGTACATGGGGCACGGGGATTTGCATCAGCATGGTTTGTCCCCATGGAGCGAGCGACAGCTCTGGGCGAGAAGGGATCGATGAGAACAAAGCGGGGGAACTTTTGAATCTTTTCGAAGAGCAATGGAGCATGGAAACGGCCGTGCCACTGGGGCACGGGGCCTGAGCCCTCCTCCTGCCTCCCACGGACCCCCGGGGAGCCCAGACCCAACTCTGCTGGGTGCTGAGCACCCCTAGCCAGGCCCTGAGGGCTGGGGGTGGCAGGGCAGCATGAAGCGTCCTCATGGTGTGGGACCTGCATCATCCCCAGGGACCCCCATTAAGGGGGCACCCAGGAGTGGGGTGCTCTGCTCTGCTCTGCTCTGGCCCCCGCCTCAGGGTTTGGGAGGCTTCATGCTCTGCACTGAGAGTCACCGGGAGGGGAGACGGAGGGTGTGGAGCACCCATGTCCCCGTGAGCGCCCACGTCCCCCGTGCACACCCACGTCCCCCCGTGCACGCCCACGTGTGCGGAGGCTGAGCTGAGCTGCAGCCTGGTTTCCCTAGGAAACCGAGCAGAGGCCAAAATCATGAGGGGAGGTGCCGGAGGGGGCTCGGAAACGTGGCCCAAAAAGCTCGGCACCCAGGGAGCCTCGCCGTCCCACCTGGTGCTCCAGGGACACCAGTGGCAGTGACGGTGTGGTGGCACTCGGGTGGCTGGGGGGTGCGTGAGGGGCTGTGCTGGTGGCAGCTCGGCTGTGGCAGAGGGGGTTTGGAGAGGGGGGTTTGGAGATGAAACAGCCTCTGGGCACTCCCCCAGCACTCACGAATGACCAAGACGGGGTGGTGTGGGGCTGTCACCAGCGCTGTGGAGCTGTCACCGGTGCTGGGGGATGTCCCTGTCCTCGCTGCCATGGCTTTGTGCAGGGTCGGGGCTGCTCAGAGCTCACCCAGGTCACCCCCTCCTGAGCACCGAGGAGTTTGGGCTCTCTCCAGAGCCCCCAGCCCAGTGCACCCTGTAACCCCGCTGCCACAGGGGCTGGGAGGCCCCACGTCCCCGAGAAGACACTGAGGATGAGAGGGGAGGAAGGAGGGCATCGTTTCAGGGTCAAGCTGGGGCATCAGCCCTGGCTCCTCGGGAACCAGGCAGGGGTGCAAGGGAAGAGCTTCTCGCAGGCAGGACAGTCACACCTTCACCCTGTGCGCTGCCGGCATGCCAGCCCTCCTACATCTCCTTCTCCTCCTCCTCCTCTTCCTACACCTCCTCTTCCTTCTTCTCTCCTCCTCCTCTCCTCCTCCTCCTCCTCCACAGGCCTTTCACAGGCTGCCAAGTGAAGATGCATTTGCGGGGCTGCACGCTCCAAAAGTTGATAATTCCCCTCCAGGCAATTAAAAGGAAGCCATTTCTCCTCAATCAGTTGTATTTGAATATGGAAATGATTTTTAATTACTCAGAGTCAATATCATTTTATCACTGAAATGTGTTTGAACGAGGTTCGCCGTATTTGCAGGGCATCTAATAAGCTGAATGCAAATTCACCGTGATTCGCAGTTTTTAAATGTTCTGATGAGCGAGGGAAGGTGCTGCCCTTTGAAGGTTTCATTCCCAGGCTCCTGACGGGGCACGAAATGCCAGCCACCCCTCCTGCCCCGCCGGCTACCGTGGATGCAGGGGCCACGAGCCCGGAGGGGACATGAGGACTGTGACTGCCCCTTCCCCGAGCGTGGGCATCCCCGGCTCGCCTGGCCCTGAACATGCCCGGGGTCAGCTCCGCACGGAGCTAATGACAGCTCGGCAGCGTTAGATCCCCGGCTATTGTCTCCTGATTAATTTGCTAATTATGTTCTGCTTTTATCCAAGGAGCCTGGCGGCAGTGCGGAAATGTCAGGCAGTTGTTTATGCCCCGGGTTGCTGGCGGAGTGACAAAGGCAGGGTCCCGGAGGAGCCACATGGAACCTGGACCTGCCAGCTCCGGTATCACCGTGTTGCGGTTCCCAAGAGGCCAGGATCAAGCTGCTGCCTCTGCCGCCGCCTCCCCCAGCAGCCCTGGGCCTGTCCTTCTGCCTCAGTTTCTCTCATGGCGATTGCTGAAAATATCCAGATCCATCTCCCTGCGTGCCCCAGGGCTGGGGAGTGCTGGCACGGTGGCCTCAATGCCACCGCAGCGTGGCAGGGCTCCGTGGCTGCGGTCCCTGTGCCTCTGTGGGACAGTCACTGGTGGGGGTAAAAAGCACACAGCACCCGAGGCAAAAGCGACCAGGGTGCAGCCTGGCATGGCCCTCATCTACCGCAGCCTCCTGCGCTCTGCGTATCCCAGTTTACAGCTTACTGGGAGGCACTGGGGCTCCAGCCCCCTGGGGGAGAGGACCCTGGAGATGCCACCCCCCTTGCTGAGAAGGGGACAGGGGACGTGGCCGAGTGGCTTCTCAACATCCGACCTCTGGGTTTTCCTGCTGCGAAAACCCATCAGGTGTCGGCGTTGAACACTGCGCTCCTGCCAGACCGAGCAGCTGAGATAACATCCTCACTGACAGCTTCAGCCGGGCTTTCTGCAGCCCTCATGTATATTAATCGAGATGAATATTTATGCAAAGTTTCTTGCTCTTGAGCAGTTGCTCGTGTGCAGGCGCGATCCAGCTACCGCTGCCGGTTTGGGTGGTGAAATGGCTCCGGTGGCCGGAGGCTGCGGGCAGCCCTGCAGTGGGAATGGGCAGGGCTGGGGGTCAGCTCCCTCCTTGCCAGGCTGCTCCGGCCCGGGGAGGATCTGCCAGCACGCTGGGATCTGGAGGGATTTATCCTCGCTGAAGCCCTGGCATGGAGCAGGGCTGCTTTCTGGTGCGTGGGGACCCGGAGGTGAAAATTCCACAGGCTCCCCACCGATGCTGTGCTCGTCCCTCGATCCGACAGGTCCCGGAGGCAGCCTCTGCACCCTCACCCGGCAGAAACTCTCCCAATTTCTCCCAGAAACTCTCCCCAGCACGCCTGGCCCAGCGCCTCGAGTCCTTCCCACTGCCCTGCCTCGTGCCAAGGCATCATCTCCGCGTTGGCGCAGACAGACACGGATCAGCTCCAGTCCATCCTTCAGCGCACAAAGCGCCTGGAAAAAATCAAAATGAAGATGCTGAGCTGAAACCCATCTTCCTGGGCAAAAGGGTCGTGCCCGTAGGTCTGGGAGCTGCTTGGGATCAGCTGTTGGCTGTGCCGCCGTGGCAGCGCTTCCTCAGTCCAGAACAAACCCCAAAGTGAAATTTATTTCAGAGTTTATTCCTCTCCTTCCTCTTCTGCTCATTGCACGGGCTTGCCTCGCTCCTTTTTGTTTGCTTTTCTCCTTGCCACCACTAGCAGAAAACTTCATGTGAAGATACCTTGGAGGGGAGCAGCGGCCGCAGGCAGCTGGTGCGGGGCTGGTCCGTCTGTCCCAGTGACGGGCACCGAGCAACTGGTGAAGGCTCCTCTGCCGGCACTTACTGCCTCCTCCCATTAGAGAGGATTATCTTGCAAACCAAACTTTCCTGTTTATCACTGCTTTTGTTTTTCCACTGGAGCAATTCACAGCAAAGTTTATGGGAAGCGATTCAGACTGGCAGCTGTGGTTACCGGCTTCTCGGGGGCTGCCTTCTGCTCCCGTCTCGCCCTGTGGTTTGAGCTGAGATGCTCCTGCTCAGCCTTTCTGAAAAGCTGCTGCTGCGTGCCCTGCTCAGGCAAAACGAGCCCTGGAGATCGGGGGCTGGTTGCAGCATCCCCACATCCCCCCTGGCCAGGAGCTGGACTCGCTCTCTTCCCTAAATCCTCATCCAGGGTCTGGCACGGAGTAGCTGCCACCTTGCTGACTCTCCGCATCCCTGACTTCTGTGCCAAACGAAGGGGAAATAAGAGCCTGGTGTTGGAGACACAACAGTACTGGGGTGCCTCAGGAGCCCCTGGCCAGTGGGGAGGGCTCGGCCGGTCCCTGCCCGGCGCTGGCCGTCGCGGCAGTGGCCGTGCCTGCGGCGGTGGATGCTGTTAGCCACGGTGGCAGCGCCTGCATAATGATCGTGGTGGCCCTGGGGACCTTGTGTCAACCTGGTGGGTTATTATTGCCTTAATGGACAGGTCTAATTCCCATCCGGCAGGCAAAGCCCTGGTGTTACAACCTCCGCACGCGCGGGGCGCTGCTCTAATTATGCCCTGCGAGCTGCTCTGCTTGCGCTGACCCCCAGCCCCCCCCAAATCCGGCAGCACCACTGAGGCTGAGAGCCCTGATCAGTGTTTTCCCCCCTGTTCCAACAGTTCACAGGGGGTGAGGAGGATGATGGAGGCTCCGGGTGCTCGCACAGATCACCGGGAAGATGTTTTGTTTTGGCTGGGGGTGGGTTTTCTCCAGCGCCTTCCTGAGCGCCGCCTGCCTCAGGGGGCTGGGGTGGGGGGCTGAGCACCCCTCGTGCTTTGCTTTGGGCTGGGGGCACGGCCGGCGGCGGAGCGCAGGCTGCGGCTGGGGGAGGTTTGCAGGGATGCAGCAGCAACAAGCAGCTACAGAGAGCACCCAGTTGTCCTGGTAACAGTGGGTGCCTCCGGCTCCTGCAGCTCGCCCCCCCCCCCCCCGCCCCCAGCACTGGAGCCCTCCAGCTCCTCCTTGCCACGGGCAGGGTCCCACCTGGGGCAGAGGAGGGTTTGGGGATGCTGCCTGCAGTAATGGGGAGCCTGGGCAGGGGGGTGACGTGGAAGCTGGAAATGACACCCGCGCTGGAGGGGAAGCAGCGGGCTCAGGGTGACGTTACGGGAGGGGGCATGGAGTGTGGCCAGGCCTGGTGGCAGGGGGGTGTCGCAGGACAGAGCGAGGCAAATCAGGCTGGGCCACGGCTGGCACGGGGGTCGGGGCAGAGCCCACGGGCAACGCGCAGGCAGCGCATCCCTCGTCGCATCCCGTATTGCATCCTACATCGCATCCCGCAGCGCATCCCCCATCGCACCCCGCATCTCTCACAGGGCAGCGGTAGCTGGTGCCAAACGACGCGTTTGGAAATTTGGAAGTAATATCAAGCGTGCAGTCCTCTTTGGCTGCGGGAGCAAATACCTCATGGCAAGCAGAGAGCGTGACCCAGAGCGCTGTGGGTTTGGGATCGCCCTTCTGCTGAGCCGCAGCCGCTGCAGCGAGCTGTATTTACAGAGACGGGTTCTGGAATATCCTCCAGTTATCTCAGGGCTAATGATGCTTTTCTCCCTGGGATAAAGAACAGAGTGAAAAGCTGGTGTGCTTGCTTTTGGCCTTGACCCCGGGGGGGATGAGTGTCTGTCTGGGGACGCGGGGTCGGGCACCCACAGGCTGTAGGGGAAGGCTGGGAGAAGGGAACGTCACGGAGCTGAATTGCACAAAGGGCTCGGGTGGACGTGGCCCTGCGCTTCCAGCAGTGCCGGGCTGGATTAGGGCTGGCACTGAGCTACAGATCCCCAGGGTGCTGAGCAGTGGTCCCGGCGGTGCCTCCTGCTACTGAGTTTCCTGCTTCTGTCACACCCCCGGCCCTGGGCAGAGGCTGCAAGGGGCCACCCGGAGATCTGTGCACCCCCAGGGCTGAGCACAGTGCCCGCAGCGCTGGGCAGGATGCGGCCAGCGCTGCATTTCCAGCTGGGCTGCTCCCGCAGCGTGGCAGCGGGGCTGGGCCACATCCTGCTGGGGTCCTTGCTGCGGGGCTGGGGCTCAGTGGCAGTGACACCCCCTCCAAACCAGAGGTCCCCGTGCTCCTGGTGGGCTCTGCCCTGGGCAAGATCCGGGCTGCAGCGGAACCTCTGTGCTGGCCGTTCTCGGTTGCCCGTGGGCCACCAAGATGCTCGAGTTTATCCCGTCTGTGCAGAGGTGAAACTGCAGCTCTGCACCACCCCACCCCCCCCCCAGCCCTGGCCACCACTGTGGGTCTGGGAGTCAGACATCCTCCGTGTCACACACGCTCGTGTCACACTTGTGCAACCGTGGGGTGTGCCAGCCCCATGTCTCACCTGGTGCTGATGCTCCGGGTCTCCCTGCAGCCCCCTCCCCGCACCCCTGCATCTCCCCCCCTGTACCCCTGCAAAACACGCCAGGCCAAGGCCTGCCTACGCGTGCAACACGGCGGCGGGGGGGGGGGGGGCCACGCACACGCGTGTGCATGCCACAGCACTCGCGTGCCAGAGAGCACCCACAGCCCACGGGAGTGCGTGCATGGACGAGCCGGCCGTGCACGCACACGCATGCCCAGCCCACGCACGAACCAAGTCACACATGTGCGGGCACACGCCAGGCACATGCCAGGCACATGCCTGCACCCCCCCAATAGCAGCACAACATGCGTATCTATGTGCACGCCACATCCCCCCCAATAGGAGCAAAACACACGTGTCCGTGTGCACGCCACATCCCCCCCACAGGAGCAAAACGCGTGTCCGTGTGCATGCCACATCCCCCCCAACAGAAGCAAAACACGCGTGTCCATGTGCACGCCACATCCCCCCACACACCCCCCAACACCCGCGTCCGTGGGCACGCCACATTCCTCCCTCCCTCCTAAACACCCGCGTCCATGTGCACGCCACATCCCCGCCCCCCCCCACCCGTGTCCGTGTGCTCACCACATCCCCCCCCCGCACTCCCCCCCCCCTCTCCCCAGCGCTGCCGCATCCCGGGGGTCACCTTCCCCCCCTCCGCTCCGGGGGGGAGCGCACCGGCTGTGTATATATATGTGTGTGTGCGTGCGTGTCGCCCCCCCACGCCCCCCCCCTCCCCGTGGGGGGGCACCCCCCCCCCCCCTCCCCGCGCAGCCTCCCCGCCATGCCCGCCGGTGTCACACCGCCCCGCTCCCGGCGCATGCAGCAAGTGCCCGAGCCGTGCGCGCCGCCCCCGCCCCCGCCCCCCCTCAGCCCCCCCTTTTCCCTTTCCCATCCCCACCACCACCACCACCACCCCCCCCCTTCCCCCCTCCTCCTCCTCCTCCTCCTCCTCCCTCCTCCTTCCCCGCCGCTCCCGGGGCCCGGCGCGCCCGCTCCCGGCCCCGCGCGCCGCCGCGCTCCCCCGGGCGCGCCCGGGCACCGGCTGCCGCCGCCGCCGCTCGGGGATGGCCAGCCCGCTCCACGCCGCGCCGCGCCGGGGCTACACACGCTGCTGACGGAGCGCAGGTAATTGGGGAGGGGGGGGGGGGGGGGAAGTAGGGACCCCCCCCTCCCGGTACACCGTTCCCCCCGCCCCCCCCCCCTTTTTTTTTTTTTTTTTTTTTTTTTTTACCGCGGTGCCCCCCCCCCCCCCCCCCCCCCTTTCCAACGCGGCGCAGCGGGGGCGGCAGCTCGCCGGGGATGCGGGATGCGGCGGCCGGTGCTACCGGTTGGCATCAGCCCCGGTTCCGCCGTGCCGTCCCCCCCCCACCCCGCCTTCCCCCGCCGCTCTCCGCCATCCTCCCGCCTCCCTCCTTTCCACCCCCCCCGCCCCCCCCCCCCCCCCCCGGCCAACTTTCCTGCCCCGGTTGCGGGGTCGGGGAGTTGCAGTCGAGCCGCGGTACCGGGGGTGCCCCGTCTCCGGGGCTCAGGGTGGGCAGTGTATCCCTGGGGCGGCCCCGGCCCTGCGTGGAAGTTGCACGGGGGGCTGCGGCGGCCGTGGGCTTGGCACCGGGGCTGGCTGTGAGCGGCTGCCGGTCCCCCCCCACCCCAACCTCCTCCAGGAGTGCCGGTCCCCCCCTTCCCCAAGCAATCCCAGGGCTCCAGCAGCCCCACCGTGGAAGGGCTGCATGTGTGTCAGCGGGCACATGCGTGTTGCCGGGCACACGTGTGAACACCGCGGTGTGTCATACAACAAGGCCACGGGCTCACGGCTGCCTGCTGGCATCCCTGCCAGCCCCGGTGTGGGCACACATGTGCTGCCAACCCGACACGCGTGGGTGCTCGGTGGGTTGGGACCCCCACCTCAAGACCCCCCCACCTTCCTCCTCACCCTACAACGTCACCCCTGGCTGGGTCCCTGGGGGATTGGCACGCACCGGGGCGCGTGGGCAGGCGTGTTGGCGGAGCCCCGGCGGCAGCAGGTTTTGCAGCTCTTCCCCTGCGTGGGGGCTTTGTTCGGTGCCAGCGTGGAGGGCTGCGGGGAGCCTCCGTGCCACGGCCACGCGGCACCCGGGGACCGTGGGCGTGCAAGCGAGGGCACACGTGGGCACCCAGCGTGTGCCGGCGCGGGCACGTGCAGCGTGCAGGTGGCAGCCGGATCTTCAGGGGGGTGGCAGTGGGGGAAAGGAGGTGGTGGTGGGGGAGCTCTTTCCCTTCCCAAGGGCCCTGCGAGCCCCCCGGGGTTTGTGGCAGGAGCGCTGCCACGTGTTCCCACCCGTGTGTGCCCACGCAGGTCACTTGTTGAAACGCGACGGGGGAAGATTTTTTCCGCAGCCCCGGCCGGTGCGGAAGGGTGCGGGGGCACCGTGCCTGCCGGGGGGGGCGGGGTGGGGGGGGGTGGGCTCGTGGCAACACGGCGTGTGAAGAACCCTTTGCTTTTCTAGGTCACGTTGCTGCTGCTGCCTGTGTTGGATGGTGCCTGTGGCAGCCGGGGGCACGGGTGACGTGGGGAGGTGGCTGTGGGGTGGCCGGGTGCTGCCGATGGCTGGGGCACACGTGGGGCTGGCATTGAGCCGTGCGGCTGGGGGAGCTCCCGGTGGGGCCGGTTATTTGGGCCTGATCTTTACCCCCCTCCCCCCCCTCCCAATTCCCCCCTCCCCAGTCAAAGGCAGTGGCTGAGCCGAGGAGAGCTCGTGGGGAGGGAGCCGGCTCGTGGGGCTCGCACCGGGCACCCGTGGGGAGGGTCAGCACCCCGTTTCCCAGCGGGGTTCGTTACCAGCGGCACGGACGGTGGCGGATGCCGGAGTTGGCCGTGGGGCAGTGCCAGCCCCTCTGTACCGGAGCCCGGAGCCTGGCAGCAGCTCCTCTTCGAGCCCTGCCCGGTTGTTTGTCAAGCCTTGTCACCAGATTCTGCTTTGATCCAAGGAGTTTGCAAGAAGCCGGGATCCTACAAATTTGGTCTGTGCCGGAGAGAAAATGGATACGGAGCTGGCACCGCGGGCGGCTTTGCTCTCCGACCGGCAGCTGCGTGGCAGAGGTGCTCCGGCGCTGGCTGGGACGCGTTGCCTGCTCTTCCCGGCTGCCTCCAGCTCTTCCTGACACCTCCAAGGACCTCCAGCAGCGCAGCTCTCCTGCTCGGCGTGACACCTCTGCTGTGCCGGTGCTGGGCGTTGGGCCGGGGGCTCTTCCTGGGGAGCTGCAGTGGGGGCTGGCCCCCCCCGGAGGGCTCACAGGCTGCGGAGAACCCTGCCCTGGCACCAACCTCTGTGGGAATAGCTGTTTTTTCCTTCACCCGGGCTCTTCCCGCCGCTGCTGAGTCCCCGTGTTCCAGGCAGGATGGGGGATGCAAGATGGGGTCCTCATGCCCCAATGCCCGGAGGAAGATGATGCTTGGACGGACGGACGGACGCACAGACCGTGGGATGAGCCGCCAGCCCTGGTCCAGCCCCTGGGCTGCTGCGATGCCTCGCCGCTTCTCCACGGGAATTTGGACCGAGGCCCTGCAAACTCATTTCCTACCACAGAGCCGTCCTCTAATGGGGACAGGGCTGGCTCTGGGCCACCCGGCTCAGTTGCCAAACATCAGAGGCTCCGTAGCTCCTCGGTGCTTGCGAGGGCCATCGCGTCCCCCCCACTCTCATCCCGTCTGTTCGTTTCTTGATGTCCTCCAGGAGCGGGATGGAGCCAGGCCCTTTCTCCTCCTCGGGGCACCTCGGAGGCTCCCGGCGGATCTGGGTCTGGCTGAGATGGCAGGTTGCAAAACAACAACAAAAAAAAATCCCTCTCCGGCATGAGCACACATCCAGGCTGCCACCCTCCTGCTGCCAGCCCTGCGACTCGGCTCCCCCCTTTTGGAGCCCTCCCGGGGCTCTCGGCCCCCTGTCCCTTTGCAGGATATGGAGCTGATGGAGAAGAGGGAGCCACATCCCGCTGTCAAGGAAACTACTCGGAAGAGGCTGTGGGAGAGCGGAGGGAGCAGCTGCGGCTGCTGCAGCCCCTGTGGGTGCCCTGCTGCGGGGGGGGGGGGCTCGCCTCCAGGGACCCCCCGCAGACATGGAGGGGGAGGCAGCACACGCTGTTCCCTGGCAGAGCGTAATCCCTAATCCCAGTGGAGATTTCACTGTGCTGTCTCTCGGCCCTGCTTTTGGAGTGGAGTTTTACCAACAGCAGTTAAGTAAAATAAATAAAAAGGCCTGTGCTTGCCAGTGCTAGCGAGGCTGAGCCAGTGATTGGCAAAGCGGCACCATTAATTACAGCTCGGCGCTGCTGCCAGCCTGCCTGCTTCGGGAAAGGTGGTGGCAGCGCGCCGGGGAAGCCAGAGGGAGAGGGGGAGTGCGAGGGGAAGGGGGGGGACGTGGGAGCACGGAGGGGGGGAATCGTGGTCCCAGGCACCGGGAAGGATTGTGCCGCGGCGGGTGGAAGCGGCACGGATACCCCTCTCCCCGCCGAGTGCCCATGCCTGCGTGCACGGGAGCCCACACGTGTGCATGCAGAAGAGTGGCAGGAAGCTGTGTTTTCAGGGGGTTGAGGGCTGAAGGCTGGGATCTCCGTGGAATTAACGTTCACCCAGTGACGCTCACAGCGTTAATTAGTTGGCAGAGAGGCTGCGCCGGTGCTGCTGAGGGCAGGGGCTTGGTGCTGGGGGTCCCTCGCGCCGGGAGGATGGGCGCGGAGCGGCGAGGGCTGAGCGCGGAGGCGGCTTTGAAGTTCCCGGATGCCTTTGAACCTCTCGTGAAGATCCTGGAAACTGGAGGGTCGTGGACTCTCCCGGCGGGAAGAGCTCGTCGCGGGTGCTTTGTTCGTCAGCCTCACCTCTGGGCAGGCAGGGATGTGCTCCCATGGGATGGAGCCTGTTTTGTGGCTGCATGGCCGTGCCGTGCCGTGCCGTGCCGTGCCGTGCCGCCGGGCAGCCTGCTCGCTCCTCCCCAGATCCTGTTGCCTTTCAGCAGGGAGCGAGGCCATTCCCACTGTGGTTCAACACCCAGGACTTCCCGGCCCTTCCTTACCCTTGTGCCCTTGTCCCGAGCCATCCTCGTGTTGGGAATTCTCCTGGATCGTGTATTTTCTACAGCCTATTAAAAGAACACTGTCAGGTTAAAAACCGTGTCTCTCAAAACCCAAATCTCCTTTACTTTGCTATTAATCGTTTCTCAGATTTTTAATGCCAGCTGGGTTTAGTGCCGCCTGTTTATCACTTTTGGGGCTGGTTGGTTGTTTCTGGCTTTGCCTGGCTGGAGAGAGGTGGCTGTGGCCGAGCAGAAATACGATGGTCAGGAGCCAGCCCCCGCCGTGCCGGGAGGATGGAGCTGGACCGGATCCATGCCGAAATCCCCATTCAGGCAAAGCATCTTCAGGGAAACAACCTGTTTGTGCAGCATGAGCAGGGCTGGTGCGGAGCGGTGCCTCCTCCTGCCATGCCGCGGCTGCTGGCGAGGGAGAAGCGAGCCCTGGTCGGATCCTGCCGGTTACCGGAGCCAGGAGGGATGCGTTGGAAAGGGACCGGGCGCTCCAGGTGCTGAGGACGGGGAGCCTGGGGATGTCGTTTCCACGCGGTTGCTTTCCCGGCTCTGCGATGGCTCTTTAAAAGCTTCAATTAAAAACCCACCCCCTTTCCCGTGCCCGGGCGGGGAACAAAGGCGAATGGAAGGGGCTGGAGCGGGTGCCTGCGGCGGGTGAGGGTGCCAGCCTGTGCCAGCCGTGCTCTGGGAGCCATCGACATCCCCGGGGAGCAGCACCCGCTCCCGCAGCAGCCCAGCAAAGCAGTTGGGTGCGACGGGTTCCCCGGGGGCAGCCAGTGTCCCCCCCCATCAGCTGGCGGTGCCAAGATGCAGATGCCGGTGCCAGGCGTTTTTTTCTGCGGGGACCGCGGCCGTTTCGGAGGGGCGATGGGCAGCGGGGCCGTGCCCTGGCACCCCGGCGAGGCCGGGCTCACCCTTGCCGGCGCACCCGGAGGGCGATGCTGCAGGGTGTGAGGTCCCCACCGCGGTGCCAGGTAGGAGGGTGACGGTGGCCCTTCCTCGAGCCGCCCTGCAGCTCCCAGCCGGGTGACTCGGTGCCCCAGATGTTAAATATCTTCTCGGGCCCAGCTTGCAGCTCATGAAATATTTTCACTGCAGCAGCAACAGCAAGCGCTGCAGGGAGCAGGGCTGATGCTGAACGAGCTGTATCAGATTTGAGCTGCTCTTAACGAGCCCTGGCCTTCAGTAGCAGCTACGGCACGGTGCCGGGCTCTCAGGCAGCTGCAGCCCTGGAAGGTTTTGGGGGTGAGGGGAAGGCACCCCGTGGTCCAGAGCACCCGAGTCTTGCACGGAGATGTGTTTGAAACACGGGGAGCCTGGAGAGGTGCAGCAGTGGGCTGCTAGGCTGTGCCCGTCCCTGCCGAGTTTTCCAGCAGGCGGTTTGCCCCGGCGGCAGCTGAGCAGGCAGGCTGGGCACCGGCAGGAACTGGGTGGGATGGACGGACGGACGGATGGCCAGGACGGAGCATCCCTCCTCGCTGCTCCTGGGCAAGGGAAGCAAGCACCATCTTGTGTCCCTGCCAGGCTGCGGGAGCCCCAGGAGCTTGCTGCAGAGAGGCAGCATGTCCCTGCCTGACCTCCTCCTCCTCCTCCTCCCATCCCCGGCTCTCCCGGAGCCGCGGAGGGCTCTGCCTCTCCAGGGGACCCCAGGTCCTTGCTGGGTGCTCGAGGAGCATCAGTGGGGGATGCCTGTGGGGCTCCCCGCTCTGGCTGCCCCTTGGCTCCCCGCTGCCGCAGGTTGTGGGGAGGGGTCTCCTGTTAAATTCCCTGGGGTCTCCTGGGAATGGAAGCGGCTGCAGGGAAGTGGGGTTTTCTTTTGCCCCAGAGCTCCCTGCTTAAATCAGGGGCGTCCTGCCTGAAGCTGGCCCCAGGCCTGGCTGGTCCCACTGGCTCCATCCCAGCCCCTTTCTCCCCATGCCTGTGTGCCGTGGGTGGGGGCCGGCTGCCGGCACCGAGCCCCCACGCTGCCGGGGCGGCGGGAGCCGGCGCCAGCCTGTTGCATGAGAGCTGGGTTATTTTTAGCTCTCTAATGTGCCCGTCGTGGCTTCGGCGCAGGCTCGGCCGAGGCTCAGGCTCCCTCCCCGATGAGCAGGGTACCCTCCCCCGGTACCGGGGTCTCGGCCAGGAGTGATGTGGAAGCAGGAGATGTTGTTTGGGGGTGGAGAAGAGCATCCTGGTGTCATGCCGAGCGCTCGGCATCCCCCACGCGTGGTTGGGACGGAAGGGAGCGGGGCCCTGGGTGATTTTGGAAATCGACCTCTGGAATGGCATCTGTCCCTTGCAGCCACCTCCTGAATGTCCCCCATCGTCCCCGGGGCTGCTCCCTAAACCGCTGCTGCCTCGCGCCCTGGCAGAGCGGGGCCAACACGTGCGCAGTGGCCTCGGCTTCTGTAGAGCCACGCTCCGGTCCCGCTTAATAAGGCCACTGCGTGCATTATTTTATTAATGAGTTATTAAAAAGCTATCCACGGCGCTACTGCTGCGTACCCGGCATGGTGTCCAAGAAATATGTACTTTAACGATTGCTCGCCCTGTGCCGGGCTCTCATGGCAGGTGGGGGGGGACACCGTGCTGTTGGGGTGCCCGGGCACCCCCAGCACATCACCCCGAACTCCTCCACTGAGCCTGTCCCCACGGTGCTCCGGGGCACCAGTAATAACTACGAGGCTTTTTATAGCCCCATCTGGGCAGAAGCTGTTTGGTGGCTCTTTGCCCAGGCTGTGCTTGGCCGGCTCTGGCGGGTGAGCTGAGGGCAGGGGAGGGGGGTGGGTCGCTGCGGTGGGGGTCCACAGGCTGCGGGGTGGGAACCAGGTGTCTGCTCTGGTGATTTTATGGTAAAGTCC